TTGTCTTTCATAATTACAATATAATGATCAAGATCAGGAAATTAAGATTGATACAATATTATCTAATCTCAGATTTTATCCAAATTCTACCAAGTCCTATTAATGTCCTTTAGATCAATAGACAATTTTTTTTTTCCAGTCTGGGAACTGATCCAAGATCACACTGGACTTGTTGGATCATATGGTTATTCTGCTTAACATTTTGAAGAACTGCTAAACTGCTTTCCAAAGTGACTACATCATTTTACATTTCCACCAGCAATGTATAGGGTTTCAATTTCTCCATATCCTCACTTAACAGTTGTAATTTTTCTTTTGTTTTTGAAAAAAGTTATGGCCAACCTAATAGATGTGAAAGAGTAATTATGGTTTTGATTTGCATTTCCCTAATGACTAATGACATTAAACATCTTTTCATGTGCTTATTGACCATTTTTATATCTTCTTTGGAGAAATATCTATTCAAGTCCTTTGCCCTCTTTTTAACTGAGCTGTTTTTTTAATTGTAAGAACTCAGTTATATTCTGATACTATATTCTTATCAGATATATAATTTGCAGATATTTTCTCTCATTCTGTGTGTTGTGTTTTCACTCTCTTAACTGTGCCCTTTGATAAACAAGATCTTAAAATTTTGATAAAGTATAATTAACCTAATCATTTTTATACTTTTGGTATCAAATCTGAGAAACTATTGCCAAATCCAAGGTAGTGAAGATTTGTGCCTGTTTTCTTCTATAGGTCTTATAGTTTTAGCTGTTATAATTTTGGTCTTTGATCTGTTTTCAGTTAATTATGGTGTGAGATAAGGGTCCAACTTTATTCTTTTGCATGTGAATAACCAGTTCTCCCAGCACTATTTACTGAAGAGACTGTTCTTGCCTCATTGAACAGTTTTGGCATTCTTGTTGAAAATCAATTGACCACAGATTTATGAGTTCATTTCTGGACTCTCATGTCCATTCTATTCAAATATATGTTTATTCTTATGTCAATACCACACTGTTTTGATTACTGCAGCTTTGTATTAAGTTTTGAAATCAGGAAGTGAGTCCATCAAACTTGTTTTTTTTTTTTTTTTTCAAGATTGTTTTGGCTATTCAAGGTGCTTTGCAATTACATATGAATTTTGGGATCAACTTTTTCACTCCTGCAAAAAGTGTTGGTATGTTGATTTTGATAAGGATTGTGTTGAATTTGTAGATTACTTTGGGACGTATTGTTGTCTTTATAATATTATGTAAAGATGAACATGGAATGTCTTTTCATTTATTAAGTCTTCTTTAATTTCTTTCAGTAGTGTTTTGTACTTTTCAGTGTATAAGCCCTGCACCTCCTTGGTTAAATTGATTCCTAAGTATTTTTTTCTTTTTGATGCTATTTCAAATAGGGTTTTTTTCCTTAATTTCCTTTTCAGATTGCTTATTGCCAATGTGTAGAAATACAACCGATCCTGTATCCTGATCTTTGCTTATTTATTAGCTCTATTTGTTTTTCTGTAGGTATTTTAGATATAATCATGTGCCTGTTGCTTTTATTATAGAAGGGTATTTAGAAATCAAAATCTGGGTGTTAAATGTATTTATAGCTACTGTGATATAATTGCTTTTAGGACCTCTTAGCAGACAGTGCTGGAAAGTACATACATACATGCATATCAATATATATAATTCGATTCCTATCTAGTTCTATGTATTAAAAATCATGAGTTCTTACTGATATCTCCAATTTCCACCCTATTAGTGATCCTGGACCTGGGACTGTACATGTTTCAAGCAGCAGCCTGCAGTGTCAGAAAAGCCCCAGGATGGGAACCCAGGGTATACTGTGGTCAGTTCTGTGACTAGGGTAAGAAGTGATGTAGAGAGGATTTTGAATTGGTATACAAGATATATTCAACATATTTAGTTTCTGTAGTAACTTTTTCTCTTTGTTTTCCTCCTACTTCTCTGGACACTCTTTTCTCAGACTTCATTAACTGAGTGATCCTTTGGGTTTTGTACCAAGCCCCCTCTTTGCCCTCTTAGTACATTTTCTAGACTAGCTCATTGACTTTCATGTCTTTGAGTACCCCTTGGGCAATAGCTTCCGTCCATGTCTTCTGTGCTTCAGATCAACCTATTCAATTGCATACTGAACAGTTTCACTTGTATGTTCTCCCAGTGCTGATGTGTCAAAGTTAAAATGTCCTAAATTTGTTCATTATGGCCTATTTTACCCTGTTGCAATAGGGTTCTCTTCCTTATGCTCAATGGTTCCTAGTTGCCCAAACCAGAAACAGGCATTTTCATGGATTTCTCCCTCTCCCTCACCACCGACAATCACGTCTTCTTGATTTACTCTCCTAAATATCTCAAATCTGTTTATTCATCTTCATCCTCATGGACATGGTCTTAAACCAGATTACTGTTATTCCTTACTTGGATTTCAGCATGCTAATTGGTCTCTGAAACCCATTCTTAACCTTAATAGCCATTTAGAAAATGAGTTATCAGTTCTAGTCCTGCCTGTGCCACTTTCAGCTGTATGATCTTGGTCAGGTTACTTCACTGCTTTATGGCTCAGTTTTCTTATCTGTAATACACAGACAGGAATAGTACTTATTTCAGAGGGCAGTTGTGAGAAGTATATGAGGGGACACATGCAAACTTCTTAGCATATTTGCTAATTCATAGTAAATGGTCAATAAATTATATAATCATTCCAGTGTTCTTCAAAATCTAGCCTCTGCTATTCCTCCGATCTCTTCTGATTGATTCCTTCTACTCAGTTTTTCAGCTTCTTTCAATTGCTCTAATATCTGATGCTCTCTTTTGGCTCCAGGTCTCTCCTCTGCTCTCTTTTCTTTTTTTTTTTTTTTTAAGATTTTATTTATTTATTTGACAGAGAGCGAGAGAGGGAACACAAGCAGGGGGAGTGGGAGAGGGAGAAGCAGGCTTCCCACCGAGTAGGGAGCCCGATGTGGGGCTCAATGTGGGGCTCGATCCCAGCACCCTGGGATCATGACCTGAGCCAAAGGCAGACCGCTTAAGGACTGAGCCACCCAGGCGCCCCATGCTCTCTTTTCTTAGAATTCTCTTCTCCCTCATTCTCCTACCTTATTCATCCTTCTTAATTTATACATCACTCTCTCTGGGAAGTCTTGACTTGGTGTCACTTATTTGTGTTCCAATAATACTCTTACTTCCCTTATTGAGGATCTTATCTCACCACATTGGAATTAACTGCTTACTTGTTGGCCTGTCAAGCTACTGAGGGTAGGGACCAATTTACCTTATTCACTATTCCATCTCTAGTACATAAATTGGACTCATTCAGTGAATGAAAGGATAATGAATGGGCCACGTTACCATTGTCTGTTTTTTGATCTGCTTGGTAAGCTCCTGGCTACAGCCCTGCTTGGCTGCAGGAGTGGGGAAGATTGAAGGGGAAGACTCTCCTAGTGTCTTATCAGCCGTTAGCATTTGCTGCATTGTTGGCCCCAATTATTAGCTGGTCAGTAACTCCTAGGACTGTTCCTTTACACATGAGCATGGGGCTACTTTTCCTGTCAGCCTCCACCAACAACAGTCTGATGGCCTTTCTCAGCTGAGGAACATCCCTTGACACTATCACCCTGATGAAATCTGTTATCTCTAACTCTGAGATTACTCTGTTATGTTTCCCTATAAACATTAGATTGGATGCATATTCAACATTTCACAATTTCATATGGTTTATCCTATATGCAATTTTGTAAATTGGACACATTTGAGAAGCTAATTGTATTGTAGTGTAAACCGTGAGTAGCTGCAGACTGGAAGTATGATGGGGTTGGGGACATGGGCCTGGGACAGCTGGAATTTGTGGTGGAAGTAGACACAGATCAGTGAGATGGAACAGATTAGGTAAAAGAAGCTGGATTAGGGTTTTCAATAATTTTTGCTCTGCTTAGATGTGAAATTATTTGGTTCAGACGTGCTTCTCCTGGGAACCCGCAGAAGTAAGCCCAAAGGCCACTGTCCATACCCCAAGGACACTGGAGCAGAAATTTGGCTGCCTCTGAGCGGCAACCTGGTGGCCTGAACCACTTTCACAACTGCGGATCCAAGCTGGCGCATACGTGCCGGTCCGCGCTGAGAGAAGGAAGCCGCTGGGGGGCAGCAAAGGCTCGCAGGTTTCTCCTTACAGCGGCTATTTATATTGTGCCGCATTTTGCATTTTTTTTTTTTAACGAATTGCTTTCTTTTAGAAATTTAATTTTCGAATCCGAACTGCACTATATGAGCAGGGACCCCGTTCGTCATTTCCTCTCAGAAATACATTTTTTCCTGCCATAATTTTACTTTTTCTCCCTCCTGTCATTTCCAAGAATACCAGAGCTTTCCCTTGCCCCAGGAAGGCCAGGCCCAGGCGGATCCGAGTGAGGAGCTGGCGAGGCGTAATGGACAGTGGCAGAGCCGGACGCTTGGCGCGGATCCGGCCCCTAGGGAGCTGGACCAGGGAGTACCTGCAGCAGGAGCATACTGGGCCTCAGGAACCCTGGGTGGGGCCGACTTTTCAGCTGCTCAGCACCCTTGGCTACTACAGTGGAGACACCGATCTGATGCCCTGAAAAATACCTATAGAACCTGGCTTTTGGGGGAGGAGATTTGGCGAGAGTCACCAAACCACACCTCGCAGCTCTTGGATCCTGGAGAAGTTTGTAAATGTCACGTCTGTGTCTCAAGACGAAAACAACTCACTAAGGTTTCACACTTTCCAGGAAAGGCCAGCGGACACCTGATATAGGCCAAATGAAGCGTGCGGGAGCCTTTTCGTGGCTCACGAGAGGACCCCGCGGCAGGTGCGGCGGGACTGGGAGCGGCGCGCGAGGAGGCGCCCACAAAGCGCCCTTGCGGAGTCGGGCGGGGGTGCTCCCTGAGGTGACAGGAGGAAGCGGGAGGTGGAGGGTAGAGAGGAGGTCCCGCCCCCACCTCGCTCTCCTTTACGGGAAGTGATGTGGGGCCAGACGGAAAATACCCGCCAAGGACCCAAAAAGGGCCGGCAACGGGTGGACGCAGCGCGCACGCAGGCAGAGCGGCGTGGGCCCAGCGAGGTCCAGCCAGGTGAGCCCGGCAGCTGCGGGAGGTGTGGGCGGCGCCGCCCGACCCCCAGCGCCCGGGGTTCCGCTTCAACCGGACAGTCGAGCACCCTAGCGGGCGAGTGGCAGGGCTGACCCTGGGGTTAGGCGCTGGAGGCTGCGATTCCTCGCCCAGCTTCTGCGCGTCTGAGCCCGCCGGAAAAGTTGCTTTGCCTCTCCCAGGCCCTCAGCACAGACCCTACGGGGACAACCGCCGGGGGTCGGGGGCAGCATGGGCGAGGTGCTGGTTAGTTGCGGTTCCAGGTTTGGGACCGGGCCGAGGTCACCTCCGGGGGGGCATCCAGGTGCTTGGGTTCCCGTCGGGGGTGGGGGGTGGGGTGGAGAAAGAAACTTCACTGGCAGGAGAGGAGGAAGGTTCCAGACCTCCTGCACTGCCGCATAGTTCTTTCCTCCCTCCTGCTGTTTTCAGTTTATTTAACGTCTTTACACCCTTGTTGATAGGGGTCTGAACAGCAAACGGGCTGGGAGGGAGAGGGTTCTTCCTTACCCTGTCAGTTAGACAGGAAGCCCAACCTGGCAACCAGGCCCCTGGATCTTTATTGGTGGTAGGGCTGATGTGGAGACAGGTTTGGTAACTATTGCCAAATCCTTGTCTTTGTCCCAATAGATCACCAATTAAGCAAAGTCAGGCCTGAAATGAAGGAAATCTTGTGAGCCCTTGACTCCATCTTCCCAGCCTTTTGGCTCCTGCTGGCCACCTAGGCCACATGGCTCCAGAATGTTCTGCCACAGGGTCCTCTTCTTTAACTCTGGGGGCTAACAGCTGTTTTTCCTTACTCCATGGATTCTGGCTTTATGGTCGGCTCTTCACTCAGATGTTGGGAGTGGGGAGTAGTGTTACGCCCTATGAGTTTTCTGTAATTATTGCTAATTTAATTTATTGCTGGTCGTTGTTTCTATCCCCTCCCCCCCCTTTTTTTTGCCTTCTTAAAAACTTGATTTAGGGGCAAAACAATCTGGAAAACAGGTTCTACAGATGGTTAGAGATAAGAAAGGTTAATAAAATACTGAAAGAACCTGACTGAAGATCATTTTCCCCCCTTTATTTTATGTTGGTTTTCATTCCTACTTTCTTCTTTCTTTTTATTTAAATCATGAATTTATTTTATTTTCATGCCTGAAGCCAACTCATTTAGCTGTCTCAGCCTTTCTTCCTTCCTGCCTTCCTGCCTTTCTTCCTTCTTTTCCTCCTTTCTTCTTTCTTTCTTTCTCTCTCTCTTTCTCCCTTTCTCCCTGAACTTGTGAGGATTTATTTCTAGACCCTTAATTCTACTCCATTAATCTATTTGTCTATCCTTATGCTAGTATCATAGTCTTTATTATTGTAGTTATGTAGTAGGATTTGAGCATGGGAAATGTGAGTCCTCCCATTTTGCTCTTCTTTTTTTGAAATTGTTCTGGCTATTCTGGGTCTCTTGAATTTTCATATGAAATTTAAGATCAGTTTCTCAATTTCTTTTGCTTTGGTTTTAGAGCAGATGTAAGGGTTTTGAAGTAGGCATTAATCTCTAGGAACCAGACTCTTGATTTCTCCCTTCCAAATCTGCTTTTCACTTAGTCTTTTACATCTCAGTTAATAGCAATTTTACTCTTTAGATTCTCAGACTAAACACTCTGGAGTGACCCCTGATTCTTTTCTTTTTCTTATTCCCACATCTAATTCTTTAGCAAATCTCATTGGTTCTACTTTGAGAAAATATAATAAATATAGGATAAAAACCATCTCTCACCATTTCCACTGCTTCTGCCAAGATCCTGTCATTTCTGTCACTGCAGAAATTACTGCAAATGCCCCCTACAGGGCCATCCTGCTTCTACCCTCACCACTCTACAGTCTGTTGTCCACACAGCAGCCAGAGGTCATTATGCCACTCACCTCTCTGTTCACAACCTCCGGTAGCTTTTTATCTCAGAAGAAAAGCAAAGTCCTCACTGTGGCTTATAAGCCCCTTATGTGGTGTATGGCTTCGTCTTCCATTGTTCTCCCCTTGCCTACTGCATTTCACCCACACCCTAAGACCTTTGCATTTGCTCTTTCCTCTCTGCCTGGAATGCTCTTTCTTTGAAGAGCATTCCTGCATGGCTTTCTCACTCATTTCATCCAAGTCAAAAGTCATTTCTTTAGAGAGGCTTTCTTGAACCATCCCATCTAAAATAGCATCCCTCACCCCACCCATCATTTTTTGCCCCCTAACCTTGCCTTATTTTTCTTTTCTTTAGAGTATCTATAGCAGTAACTGTCTTGTTCACTATAGTGTGCATAGTGCCTAGAATGGTTTCTGGCAAGTAGTAAGCTCTAAAAAATATGTGTTGAAAGAATGCAAAGGGAGAGACTGAGAAATGAGGATCATTCTACTGTTGCTTTTTCTCTGTTCCTTCACACTTCTAAGAGAAGCAGTGTCCATAGTTACATCTCCTATGTCTGTCCTGTTCTATCCTCTTATGCCCCCAAGACAATGGTTTTAGCCTCCTTGGAAAGGGAAAGGCTTTGGGTTCTTCCCACAGTGGCAGTGGGGGGCCCTCTCCACTGTGGCCTGGGCAGACTGCATGGGGGCATGTGGCTCCTGCCTCCGGTGACACCCCTTCTTGTCCTGAATTCAAATTCAAGAAAATGGAAATTCCTTTCTTGATGAATATTTTGCACTACAGTGAATTAATCTTTCTCTGGCTTCTAACTGAAGTTTCACTCCCGACAGGCATTTTGGCATTTAATTACGTAGCTACTTTAGACTGTCAACTGTTTATGTATATGTTGTCTTCTGTGTCTTATGGCTAGATTGTAATATCCTGGAGACAGAGCATGACTTTAGCTCACTTTCTGAGTCTTATGGTGCAAGGTATCTTGGATAAAAGGAATGTTCGGTATAATGTACCAATAAGTTATGGAATGTACCAATAAGTTAATGAATAAACCTGGATTTATTTTTATCATTGGAAACTTCTAGTCCATACCTTTCATTTTTCCTAGCCAACAGCTGTAAATATCTTGTTTTAGTCCACCTTATTCTGCTGCTTCTGATAGAGCAGTATTGGCTACAGTCGAGTAGGATTTCCTGCCGCCCTTTCTCAGCAAGAATTGAATTAATCAGCCTAGAGAGTATGGTTATTGATCTTATAAGTTATTTAAAAATTGAATCTACCTTCCATTATTATTTAAACTTATCTTGGAATGTGCCCTATCTGAATCTTCACTGCCAAAATATGGAAACGGATTATTTTTACATATCTAGGGGATATATACAAATATATATTTTCCCCAATGAATTATACATTTGAAACCTCCTGAAAAACAAAACAGAGCTTGCATATTTAAAGTCTGAGCCCCTAACTAACTAGATGGGAGGAATCCTTTCATAATGCGAATGTCTTTCAAATTATCATGAAGTATACTTTCAATACCTTGCAATTTTATGTCAATTATACCTCAATAAAGCTAAAATTAAGAAAAAATAGTGTGAGCCCAAAGAAGCAAGATTGTGTTGCCATTATCAAAACAAGGGTGCCTTCCGAAGAGAGTAATTTTTCCCTTTCACAGCTTTTGCTTTTTATGTCTTGTGCAATTTTTGCTAGAACCACATTTATTCCCCCATTTCTTGGTCAGGAAGTTTAAGTTTATGATCTGGTTTCCCTTAAGCTGATTACCTTGGGAGCAGACATGAGCCTCCCCTGAGTTGGAGGAAGAGATAAAGGGTTTGTAATTAATGTTGTGTCCAGAGGGTGAGATGGGGAGCAGGGAGCATCCAGCTCATTCAGCCTCCTGTCTGCTCAGGCAGCAGGGAAGGCACACCACATTCTTTGTTTTGTATGAGTGAGGTCTACTAACACTCACATTTTATTTACTGTTAACTAAAATTTGATGCCTCGCTTACTCAAGAGGAAGGTTGACAGTTATTTTTCCATTTGTTTGTTTGTTTATTGCCTCTGTATGTGTTACTCTTGAGAAGGCCTTCCTTTTAGTGCCCCAGCCACTTTAGAACTACCCACATGTATGGAATCAGACTTCTGATTCTTAAAATCGAACTTTTAATGTGGGGTTGGAGATAGGGTGCTAGATTTAGCAAGTGAAAAAAAAAAAAGAAATTTGCACTTTGGATAAACAATGAATAACTTCTTACTAGAAGTATGTTCCATAAATACTTATACTAGGAAACTATTTGTTGTTTATATGAAATGCAAATGTAACTGGGTATCTTGTATTTAATTTGGCAACTCTAGTCTGGTAAACCCATTTATGAATAGGAAGTGAATTGACCATGATAATGTCCAAAGAATGACTGAGCTATGGCTTATTTTGGTGACTGCACATGTGTCTATCTTAAGGACAGAGAGGGGGCGCCTGGCTGGCTCAGTCTGTGGAGCATACGACTGGTGATCTTGGGGTTGTAGGTTTGAGCCCCACATTGGGTATAGAGATTACTTAAAAAAAAAAATCTTTAAGGACAGAGAGGATTTATAAACTCAAGGAGTATAAGAAGGGGAAGGAAGTTGAAGAAGATTTAGTTTTATTTTAGCCTTTTGTAGGTTAGGAAATTCACATCCACAGACTTTAAGTCACTTGGTCAGATCATAGAGTTAGTGGCAGAGTCAGGACTGGAACTCCAGGCACAGTGGTTGGTCTGTGCATAATGTCCTCCTATAAGATTATGTTGACCCTTAATCACTTTTTTAAAAAAATTCCAGTATAGTTAACATACATAGTTTCAGGTGTACAAGATAGTGATTCAGCAATTCCCACCCTAAATCACTTCTGTTGTCACCATCCTATGATCACTCCCTTATCACACTCTCCTTCCAGTCCCCAGATCCAGCGGCAGGCAAAGCCACTCTCATGACACACCCTTGACTTTTCTCAGAGAGCTTCATGACTGTCAAAAGCCACCATTTGGTTGTATTCCCTGTAATGATGCCAGAAAGCCTGCTATTCAAT